GGGGGGGGGGGGCGGACAGTCGTGAGCACGAGGATGTGATCAGAGTCTTTGAATTCGACACGTTTGACGGAAACATTACGCACGAAACCCCGGTCCGTCTGACGCATGAGGATGAAGTCGAGGCGGTACTTCTCCTTCCCCTTGTTGGAGCTCTGGAATATGCGCTGCACTCCACCTTTCGGTGTCCGGAAGTAGGTGTTGGTCAGGGAGAGTTGGTTGTCTGATGCCAGTCCAAGGAGTCGTTCCCCGTTGTTGTTGATAGTGTCGCGTCCGTACGCGCCCATAATCTTGGCATCGCAGCACCCGTCTCGCCTCCTACCAGTGCGTTGGCGTCCATAAGGACCACGAGATGGTCACGGCTGTGAACCTCCCGGATCGCTGCGTCGAGAGCAGTCCAGAAGGATTCTTTGGCGTTAACATCACCGCCCGCGGTGCTGCGGACAGTTTCCGGTGTACGCGTGAGCGTAGTGCCTTCTTCATCGATCGGAACTTACTTGTTGGCGCGGCAACTACGCGCGTGGCTGTCTGTCGCCCCATGCTGCGAACGCCACAACCAAAACGCGTTTTCAATGCAAGCTTGCACTGTACACGTACAAATTTGGTCTGTATTGACAGGACAAGTCCAACCAGTTGACATTTCTTTTTCTTGGCGACGCTGTGCAAGCCTTGTTCTCCGTTGCATTGTAGCGGACGGACGGCGCATGGCATGTACGTCCCAAGGTTGGCTCATCACAGCAAATAATCCAGGTGTCATTGCGTTACCCCCACAAAGCTTACACGCCTTTGCATCGAACATAATCCCACATCAACAAAAACGTCGTTGATGTACAAAGAAGCACAAACAAATGTGTCTCGGTCATGGTTGGTGCAGGCATTATTGACTGCAGTCCAACAACAGTTTTCATGGAAATGCGCGCCGGAACTTTGGCAGCGGTGGTCCAGACGAGAACTTCGCGTCCAGATTTGCGAGTGAATCATCGTTGTACAAGGATTTGAATGGAAGCCTTGGACTAGAGGTCGGGTGGGACGCCCTCGAGGCAGTTGCCGTCCGGAGCGAAAGGTGGGGCACTATTTGAATCTATCGATTTCTCATCGTCATCGACCTGTTGCCTCCCGTGATGTGGTGAAGGTTTTGAAGACACGAGGGAACGACAAAAGCAAAAACACCAGGGTGTGGCAGCAGAAACTGAGCCTACCGCAAAAAAATGGGCTTCAGACCTGTGGCCCCAACTGTCAGGAGGAACCCCCCGCGCATCGTCATCATCAGCCGGCCCTCCGCCTCAAACACCACCACAAAGAGGCATCGTCAAGCAGCTATGTAGGACACCATGTGCAATAGGTACATCCTCGTTCTGTCGGAGCGTCAAGATCAGCCGCACGCGCAGTTCTCTCTTGAGTTACAATGCACGAACAGGCCCATGGCGCTTCTAGGCCCAAGGGGTTTGGAAAATCATTCCCAAAAGAGTCACCACACACAAGAAGTACCACGGAACAGCCAAAACATGGCGTGCCTCCTCTCTCCATCCTAAAACAAATGAACAAAATTCCCGGTCTGATTAAAAAAGAAGTCAACGTTTCGAATAACGTTTGCATAACATTTCACACAGAAGCAAAATAAACGGAGACACAAACATCAGGTGGCTCCCGATCGTTCGTAAAACCCCGTTCAATGTCACCACCGTTTTTTACACTTTTATTACTCATATCCAAAACCATCAAAGCAAACACACCCAACACCAACAAACGTGTTCCTGACCGATACCATCCTAGTGAAACAACGCAGAACGCCCAACATAATTTGGCCACGCGCTTCGAGACACACGTAGTAGCTCTATCAAATAACCCCCGTTGACTTCAACAGGTTTCAAAATCTTCCGATAGAGAAGAGCGCTCACCCACAGCCCCCCCCCCCCGAGTCGTTAGGAGCCTCAGCAAACGAGTCATTTCCATCTCCGCAAAACTCCAAAGTCCAACACCATCGACATCGCAGATTCGGACCCTCACCCTCCTCTATCGCTGGCCGACCGCAGGGGGCGGCGTGAACGTCTGGTCTTGCAACCCTTCGGCAGGTTGCTGCGGTGTAGCCTCCGCCGCCGGCGGCAGCTGGCCGGCATGCGGGGACGCCTTCCCCACGTCCTGCCCCGAAGAGGCACCTATCCCGCCGCCGGCCCCGCGGTCCTTCTGCTGCCCGTTCGGATGCAATCCCCAGAACAGGAAGAAGGCCAGCAGCAGGCACGCATCGACGCTGGCGTACACCAGGAACGCCCTCGCCGTCCCGAAGCGCATGCTGAGGCTCCCGCCGACGAGGGACCCGAGAGACTGCCCGATGCCCCCGTACGTTGCGTTCAGGAGCCCCAGCTGTGGTCGGCGGCGTCCGCATGAACACGACCGAGCGGAGCAGCACACACGCACGCAAGAAGAGGGTGGGGATTGAAACCCCGGTACATTATGGAGTTTGCAACACTATTGGCTAGGGTAAGGAGGGAGGTAGAGATGGATCGAATGAGTACCAGACACGCATGTACCAGATCACAAGCGGTTACATACATCTGCCGACACCAGCAAAGTCTTGCAGGAGGGGCTCGCGGTAGAGCTGAACCAACCGGAACAAGCTTCTGGTGCAAGGCGGCGCGCGGATCTGAAAAAACACAAAGAAAACGCCTCCTCACCATGGTCGTGGAGAGACCCGGGGGTGCGATCGCGCCAACGTGGCACGTACTCGCCGCCCAGAAGCCAGCAAACGTAACTCCTCTGAGCGCCTCCGCTGGGAGACCCGCCCAGGGGTTTTTAATGGACGCGTAGATGACGAACCTGGATATACAGTCGAACCTCGCTCAAGTTAACACGTGGTTATTCCCAAAAAAAAAAACATAAGCCGGGGAAGTTAACGCAAGATTCAGGGGACCACAACTCACCATCCGCGGGGCCAAGAGGCGGTAAATAAGTCAATAGACGTGCACTGGGCTCCTGTACTTGTATCACGAAAGAGGCGACCGAACAGTTGGAGGGAACACTTTTTTTTTGTTTACACCCATCTTACTGAACAACACCATACCCAAATTGTTTTAGTTGGAACACTTGAACCTCTGCGCATACTTCGCGAAACTCTGGTCGACCGCACTCTACAACCACTTCTGTGCTTTACCTCGTGTGTTGCGACGCATTCCAGACATCCGTATCATAGGCCACCCCATACACGGCGTTGGTTCAGAACCGCACACGCTACTTCCTCCACAAGTCGCGCCGAGTTGCTTGCAGCTTCCCCCCATCCTTAGCTCGCCGCTTGACTTGAATTTCGTGAGTGAACGAATGCACAACTTTTCGAAAGTAGGTACTGGGTTTCGCGGTACTCCCTGCCCTTTCCATTCGCGTACAAGTAGGAGCGAACCGTCTCTAGGCTACTGCGAACTTCAGCCTCTGTCATCGAAGATATGATGCATGACCCTGGGCTGCCCTCACCATCTTCATCGTCAGACGCGCCATGATCAACCTCTAAGTTTGCCAGATTGTTCCCAGCAACCTCCAGTTCCATAGCTACCTCCTCGTCCAACACGCTAGGGTCTTCCTCTACGAAGAGCCACGTCTTAATTGCCTCACGCATTTCCACACCAGTGAGGTCTGGTCTCTCTACAAGCAAGTTGTCCTTTAACACCAGTGGCATGGATCTGGCGTCGTTGGCCAGACGAGGCACCGCTGGGTGGAAGGAATCTTTCCATACCCGCAGACAGCGCGTGCAGCAGCAGACCTCTCTGCGGTCTACAAGGTCGCTGGCCACGGCTTATTTGCAGAGGGTTCGCGGATTGCATTTGATACCCCGCTTGTATATTCTATTCTGCGGGGCACCATGTTTCCAAAAAAAAAAGTTAACTTTACCGGGGGAGCTGACCTACTCTTGTTAATTTGAGCGAGGTTCGACTGTATGTTCATGTATTACATGAACCATCGAGCGGTTATTTCCGTCGTCTCAATCAGAGAAATCGTCGCATGAACGATCAGGCGGGATATGTACGCGACTGAAGCACTCGGGCGTGCTTGGAGTCAGTCTCGGCAAGAAAAAATGGATGAAGGAGAAAAAAAATCTCCGCTGAAGGAAACCGTTTACCTCCGCCCCACCGCCAATGAAAACATCTTGAGGTTAACAGGCCTCTCCACCCACCTAGCGATGAAGCTCATCATTGACGCCGTCAGGATGCCCACGATGCTGAAGTGCTTCACGATGGCCCCCGAGAAGAAGAACATGGGAATACCCGACAGGCTCGATACCAGCCGCGACACCCCCAGCACCGACCCGGTGCCCCCCAGCTCCCTCAGCCGCTTGTAGGCAAAGTTCTCGATCACGCCGCTCGACAGCCCGATTGCGAACACCATCGAAAAGAACACCTGCGAAAATGATTGAATCAAAACTTTTAACACAATGATTGTTATTGGGGTTATCAATGCTGTTGGAGGGGTGTGCGCAGGAACGCCGAGGCCCAGGTGAAAAAAAAAAAAAACTGGAACGAAAAATCGGCAAGCGAGAGACATATATAACTTTAAGTCCGATCGGTAGAAAGCTAGAATGTAATGGGGCTCATGCTATGAACCAATAAAATGGATTGGAGGGGCATGCTCGACCGCAGCCAAGCAGGCGTGCATTTTGGATTTTTTTGGTCTCGAAGAAATAGGACAAAATAGACACTTGAAAACACAAAATCGAGCAAGTGTATTGATGTACATGCACCACGGTCAGTTTCGACTATTGGTGGGGAAGTACGCTAGTACAAGTGGACCTTTCTTTCCCTGACGCTGTTTCATGGTCCGACCGCGGAAACAACACGTTTCTCACCGAAGCACATACAAGAAGCACGCAAATCAGATAATCCTCATGAAACTCTCCATGACCCGGCTCGGTTGCGTGACCCCCAATGTGTTGCCATGGCTCTCGTGACCTGCCTACCAAGGAAAGCGGGGGTTCACCATCGCAAAAAAGAAACAAGCAATACAATACCCGAGACCTACACTACGATGAGCCCCCACCGCCAAACAAGGACGATGGCAACAAGACCACTCACCGCATTCAAAACACGCAGGCATACGCTACACACCACGATGAGCCGCCACGGCCACAAACGAAAGGACGACGACGACAAGACCACAACGGCAAGAATCGAAACACGCACGCATATGCTACACGTTCCGCGACCGCGAGCTCCTCACCAGGACATCGGGGTCGTGGACCACGAGCTGGTAAAGCTCCCCGAACTTCGGGGGCTCCTTCCCCCGGTCCTCCTTCTTTGGGCTGAACCGCATCAGGATCAGGAGTGTCGGCAGCGAGAACGCCGCGTGCATGTAGAACGCCGCCTTGAACCCGAACCTAGACAGGAGCTTCCCCGTCAAGAACGATCCGATCTGCGCGCCCCCCCATCCGACGTTTTCCCCGCCCAGCGCGCACATGCGAATTTAGGGTTTGGGAGAACAACAGGTGTTGGGGAGGCCCGCGGTTTTCCAACAAGGGAAGAGCACGTAGACTGCAGAGCGGAAGTATCCGAGTACAGGGAAACACGGGCGTGCGCGCCGAGGCTACAGCGCGGGGGAGAGAAAAAACACATTTCAATGGTGCAGCCGACACCAACTGATAGGAACGCTTGCTCCGGTGCTTCACTGTCATAGAAACACCCTGTCCCCAAGGCGTACGCCCCCCCCCATAGCACAAGAAGTCCGTCCAAACCACTCAAACACACGAGCATCACCCCTCCCTTCATATTCCAGCACAACTACTGAGTGTCCCCTCTGCATCCTGCCCCCAAAACCACAAGCCAATTTTACGTCTCTTACTTTTACCAATATTTTTCAACCCCCGAGCTTGTGCCCCCCCCCCCCCCCCCCCCCCCCCCCCCCCCCCCCCCCCCCCCCCCCCCCCCCCCCCCCCCCNTGTCGTTCTCACCCCGAAACCCCACTGCCCCCAGAGCCGTTGCTTCCCGTACTCCGCCCGGTCGTCCAGGGACTGGAGGGCGCTGCTGTCGAGCAGCGGGCGAACCGGCGCGTTGATGACGGCCGTGAGCGTGATCACCGATACGATCCAGAGGAACGACGTGCGGGCGGCGAGAGAGACCCTGAGCAGCGTCGAGGCGGCGAAGGTCAGGACCAGGATCTGCTTCAGCATGCCTGACTTGTCGGTCAGCGCGCCCCAGAGAGGGGTGAAGAGGAAGGTCATCGCCGGGGTGATGGCGCCCAGGTGGCCTATCCTCCTGTTTCGGGGGTTGGTATCGCCGGGGGGAAAGATTGAAGGGAGGGATTCCGAAAAAGAGTGGGGAGAGGTTACCAAAAGGAGTGGGGGGGGGGTGTACTCATAGTCGTGCATGCCGTCGATAGAACATTGACCTCGCATCCCTTCAAAGCCGGGACGGAGTACGCAGGGTTCTCACCGGACCAGGCTCTCACATCACTAAGCGCCAAGCGCCGTGAGATGTTCGGCGAGTCGCATGAAGGGTGCGCTGCATCCTGCTAAGGGTGTTCGGCATCTTGTGCATACTTCCTTGCGTACGGATGACAGCTGCGTATGACTTAATTTATTTTCTGGTGCTTTCACTTCCATAGACAGTTGTGAGCACTGTGTAACTGCCTCGAGGATGCGTGACCATTTGAACACAACGTGGTGCGATCATCCCCCTTGCGCGGAGTGAGGATTGCCCACCCCGCACAACATGATCTACTCGACCACCATTATGGTTACCGCCAAAACAAAAACCAAAGGAAAAAAAAAAAGAAAAGCGGTAACCTGGTTGCCGAGTTCAACAAGTGAATCGGCTTGTTTTATAACGTCGTTGCCAAGCGATGAAAACCCAACCCGGATGGCAAACACCGAGGGGAAGGAGTGGGGGGAGGTTTCAAAAAGGATTGGGGAGAGATTCCAATGGGAAGAGATGCCAAACATGGTTGGGGAGAGATTCCACGAAGGAATGGGGAGGGGTTACAAAAAAGGTTGGGGCGAAGCGCAGTCGTTTCACACCCAGGCGAACGATGACGAGGATGGCGAGCCCTAGGTTTCGCACGGAGGCCATGGGAATCTGATCGCGAGTTTCAATAAGCATGTATCTAGGCGCGGATTTTTTCACCGCAGACAGCGGCGTCCGGCATATCGGGTACACGTTGAACTGGAAATATTAGATGCATACAAGTGATATCTCCGGAGTGGGTGCATGAGAGCACGGCAGGGACATCAAGGGTCGATGGAAGATGACAATGAAAGCAGGCAGCAGGATCAGCCCACAAGCCAGATGCCAGTTGTGACGATTACCAATTATCACCCGGCGACGACGTCTTTCGACTCCAAGAGCCCAGCCAACCTCAAGAAGAATCAAGAGATTAAAAACGGTACAAATCTGTACACCATCTTGCCAAAACTCCGTCGTGACATGAAAACACGGGGCAATTGCGCTTGATTTTCCAACCTATAGTCTATCGTGAGCCTCTCCTTACGGCGACCTCTATCGAAGCCTGGCACAAGAGTGCCCTTCCGTCTTCCCGAGCACTGCCAGAATCCTCCTACTGCGCGCCATATTGCCAAACTGTGGTACAGCACGCGTGGCCGTTTGCGTAATCTCTGGAACACAGCTCTGGGGGAGGGAACAGGCAAGATGATAGATGATCTGGGACCAGAGAGTTGATTAGGGGGGGGCACAACGCTTTGAGGAAGTTTCCAATCGGAGGCAAACAGAAAAACACAATCGTTCAGCACAAAAAATTAGCACGATAGTTCGAAGGGAGATTTGATACTGCAAACGGTACCCAACAGTACTAGTCGAGAATATCAACACTAGTCGATGACAAGACCGCCTCTGCTGCGAGATCGCACACTTGACCTGTCAGGGATGCCGAGGGAGTGGTAGTACACCGGCAGGTACGGCATGATCGCCCCGAGGCTGCTGTAGAACAAGAAGAACACCGCCTTCACCGTCAGGTACTTGGGCTCCCAGCGCATCCTCTTCGCCTTGGCCTTCCCTACCACCTCATCACCGCCCGCCGCCTCTTGCCCAACCATCGCCACCACCCCGCTCCCGGCTGCTTCGGCAGCAACCTCGACGCCGGGTGCCGCTGTTCCTTCCACCACTCCGCCGTTATCGCTAACCCCCGCCCCGGAAGCCGGCACGGCCCCGTGCCTCCCCCAAGGCCGCCACACCCGCACCTCCCCTCTCGGCGGCCGCGGGGCCCCCGCGCGCGGCAGGTCGTTCGGTCGGCTTCGGGCGACCGCCGGGATTCCGGTTGCCCCGGGTTCTTCGGGAGGTGCAGGCTTTCTTGTCCACCCACCGCTTGCTACCTTTGGCGTCGCCGTCCGCTGTCTCTTTCTGACCGCGGTTGTGCCCTTCACGTCCCGCTCTGACAACAAGTCCAATACGTCTTGTTGATCACCAACCTCACTCTCACCGCTACTGACTTCCCTATTATCAACTCCACCACTCCCACCACCTACACCACTACCAGCCAAATCGGCTGCCCCTGTCGTCGACCCATCCGCAAAAGTACCCGCCGCGGGTGATGGCTGGTCGCGGGCAGTCGCGCCCTCCGGTGCCGCTGCCGACGCCGCCCCAACAGCTGCCGCCTCCCTTTTGGCGTTATCCACAACTAAACCCTCGTCTTGGGAAGCCGCAGCGGCGGCAACACCATCGCCACCACCCGCTGCCGGCGGCGTCTCTGAGCTTCGCCAGCCCTCATTTACCTCCAGCACCATGCTGGTGTCGTCCTCCGATGCTAGTCCAACCCCCCTCGCAGGATCTCTGCCGCTTCTATTTGTCTTCTGGTCCACGGGCGCTGACTGTGCTTTGCCCCTTCCCACCCTTATCCCAGCCGTCCCCGGAGCGACGGCGGCGCCCTCGCGCAGACTAACGCCGATGCCCGCGTCGCCGGCGACCGGGGTGGACTGGTCGCAGGTGACCACGTCCAACTCGTCCCGTACGATTACCCGCGGGAGGGACGTCGGCGACGCAGCAGCCGCCGCCGCCGCCGCCCTCTCCCTGCTGCTGCTACTGCTGCTGCTCTCGAAGTAGTCCTCGCCTTGTGTTTCCACCTATGTTGGTCGAAACCCGTGTGTTCGTCAAGGGAATGCGGAAGAACCAAGAGGAAGGCGGGAGAAATTGAGACGGTGAGGTATACCGTGTATCAAGGGTGCAGCAACACGACCATGTCTCGCCTGCTGAGGTTCGTCTGAGCCTGGGATGAAGAAACATGCTTGCCAGCAGCTTATTTGGGTCGTCTTGGGCGGGTTGTCTCACACACCCCTTGAGCCTTTACCCAATGCAAGTGCCACACCAGTACCTAAGCGACGAGAAACTTCACTGTTCCAGGAAAAAAAAAAAGGGCAGCCGTTGCAGCAATTCGGAGCTACTAATATCGTAGTAAATAGAACAACGCTGCATACACCGTGAGTTTGTGGTCGAACACAGCGTTGATGCACCGACGACATCCCAGCGTTTGCACTTGATAGAATCACGGAAACCTTGGCATAGGCGACGGAAGATATCACCCCCCCCCCTTGGACCGATTTTTCAAAGCTCGAATGATCCCACCAATAGAGGATGAATGAATCGAATGATAAGTCTTCGTAAAGCTATCAATGAGATAGTTCCAATGCCGTCATTTTTGGCACCGCCAACCCCCTCTGCTGTGGAGCAATCGAGCTTTGAAATTGGTCCAGGGGGTGTGATATCTAATGTCACCTACGGCATACTTCAACTGCAACCGCTGCTGTCTGCAAAAAACCCTTGAGCTCGACGCCCCCAAGCGCACGTGTAGCCATTTCGCTACGGCTGCTGTTGTGTGGGGTGCAACCGTTTGAACCGGAGGCTGCCGTGGTGTTTCGAATGTCAGGGGGGTCACGGGGGTTATTTTTCAACCCGCGTACCCGTTTGGCTCAGGTCGAACGCACTATCAAGTCAGCTGCTGCTGAGTGCGTGTGAACCAGGTGTTGAGACTGCTGGTAACCGTAATATTGACGAACATTCGGAGAGACACCAATCAACCCTGTGCCTACCCCTCGGGAACAATTACTGCGGTTCTGATTGTAGCTTGGCACCACTAGCCACCACCTCGGCTGCGGTCGCTATACATCAACACGATCATGTCCAAAACGGTTCTACTGCTGTGTCTCCTCCGTGTTAGTGTGACGCATGCATCATCCCCTCCCAGCCGGCTTGTTCAACCGCGACCAGCAAAGTTTTTGAACATCTCGACAGCAGGTCGGTTTCTTTTGCAACAGACCAAGCCACCCAACAGAACCCGTCGAGGCGATCGCATGGAGAAAGGAGAGACAAGAGCACCCGCAGCGCGACTGCGTAGGCGAGCCGCAATCGAAACACCTACACCGCAGCTGCTGGCGCGTCGTCTCTCATGTCTTGCCAACGGCCTGCCTACTTCAAACGCATACAAAAAATTGCGCCTCTCTTGGTGTCACCTTGTGAAGCCCGGCGTTTCCTCCAGCTCCCGCCCTTGCCGTCATCCCGGCCGCTGCCTTCTCTCGACTCCACTTCTCGCTCTTCAGCCCCTCGCTGCCACCCCGCACCTCCAGCAACGACCGCCCAATCGTCTCTCGCAACGAGCCATCGGTAGGGCTGGCAGCAGCAGCAGCGCCGGCAGTTGCAACCTCCGATGAGCACAGGTTGTGTGAGCGGCGAAGTGGCTCCACCTTCCCAGCCGTCCATAATACGTTACGACAAATCCTTCGCGCAGCGCCGCCAACAACGCCGCTGCCGCTGGCCCCGGCCACGGCCGACGAGCGCCGCAGATGTTGCCTCTGCTCGCCACTGCTCGAGACAGCAATCGTCGTGATTGACGACGTCGTGAGGCACAGGAGGAGGAGAACGACCTGGTAGTAACGCCCGGTCGTTCGGGGGCTAGCGTGCGCCGCCACGCGTCGACGTCTCTTGTGCAACATGACAACCCAGCGGCGAGAGATACGCTGCAAGCTTGCGCTTCGCTCCTGCTGAGGCGACCTTCTGTCAAGCCTTTGGGCAGCACAGCCAGGATCCCCTACTCTCCTCTCGCTCGCTCCTTCTTCTCTCCAACTATCGGACTCGCTGTGCACAGCAGCAGGCTCCATCAAGCCAATACTGCTGCTTGGGTGCAACCCGCTGTGGAGCAACGGATGCAACCAGCACGTGATGGACAACGAAGAGCTAAACGCCTCACAACGACTCCCATCAATGGAGCTACGACAAGCCGCCAGAGAAGCAAGCCTTACGGTTGAGAATTACAAAATGCCCGAGCGCGTAGAGGCGCTCTGCACCTCCTGCGTATTCTTGTACGTGTCGCAACCCAAGGTGTGCGTGCGCGCCGGCGCGAGAGGGGTACGCCGCGTTTTTTTTTTTTTATCACACGGGGGGGGGGGGGNGGGGGGGGGGTATGTATGAAGTTCACGTTGCCTCAGCGCGGCGGAACTCTGCTTCATCTCCGCAACGTCGGGGTGTTGTGAATACAAAGCGTCGGCGCAGCAGCATCGCACTGCACTGCGGTAGCGAGCGCTCACGGGCATGGGGAACTGCAGTTAATTTCTTGCTGGTAAGGTCCGATTGCCTGTGAAATCGAGGAGGGTGGTTGGGTGACAGTGAAATCCTCGAGAGAGAGAAGTTTGAATTTCAAAGGAGTGCTGAAGGAGTGCTGTGTCTACACTAAACTTGATCGACTTCATAAGTCGCGAGGGAAGGGGTTGCTGCACCCTTCTCGCGATAAAAAAATCTCAGACAGGAAACGCAGGAGGGGATCCAAAACCCCCTCCTATGTGACCCCGGTTCGGTCGTCTAGCTGGTAGAAGTGGAGGATAGTGGCCAGAAGGGCAGACGACAGGGTCCAACGATGAAAAAAAAAAAAAAAAAANGGTAACCTCGCAGCCTGCTAAGGGTCAGGTCATGGGTTCGCGTCCCAGCAGAGTGAGTTTTTTTCTTACGAAGTAAATCCTGGTCGAGGATGAAAGCGCCGCGCTGCAAAGCTCGTTGTTAGTAAACCATAATCGACTTCGTAAGTCGCGAGGGAAGGGATTGCTGTACCCTTCTCGCGATAAAAATACCTCAGGCAGGAACCACAGGAGGGGGTCCAGCCCCACCCTCCTATGTGACCCCGGTTGGGTCGTCCAGCTGGTAGAAGTGGAGGATAGGGGCCAGGGGGGCAGACGACAAAGTCCAATGATGGGAGAAAAAAAAAATACTAAGCCGACTGTAGAGGGCAACGACCTCTTATATCACACCAGGTACATATCAAAAGAGGTGATATCCACGTGTTGCTAATGTGCACCAAGATAGCAAAAAATGGAGATTGTAAAGCGTACGGCAGTAGGAAAGGTAGGCCGGGGTTGGACATGCTGACAAGCAAGAGACAGGTGCAGATTTGAAACTACAGTAGACCCGCGCAGAGACACAACCCAAGCTCTAGTCTCTGCAGTCCTTTCTTCCCCTCGCTGCCTCGGCAAGGTTTTGCGTAGGCATGATCCATAGCGAGGGGGGGGTCTTTCTAACGAGCAGGGCTGGACTCACCCTCAAGGGACCGATACCTTCTTGCTGCGGCGCACACGCCGCGAGGCGTGCGTAGTGGTGGAGTTGGGTCGGCACTGGTACGTCAGGTACAAAGGTGCAGATGCGCGGGCCTCCAGGCCGTCGGTGTAGGCAGCAATGCCCATCTCATCTTTGTGCGCGGAGGCAGACGTCATCAGAAAGGTGGACGGGCACTATGTACACGGCCCTAGGTTTGCTAGAGGGAGCTGTACTGTCTCAGTAACCTGGTTTTGCCATCAAAGGCGGAGGGGACAGGTGGTGACGAGCTGATTGGGCTGGTTAACCCTTCGGTGCGAGAATTTTTAGACCAAGAACCCTAAGTGCAACGAGGGAGAAAGCGAGGAACCGACTGGGAAGGACAGCAACGAGAGCGTGTACGAAGCGGAGCGGGTCGAGTTTGGTCGTGCTAGGACTGGCCGCAGCGGCACCGGAGCAGCGGCACCGGAGCAGCGGAACCGGAGCAGGCGGACGGCATCGAACCGTGGCGCACGGACAAACATCTCTTGTATTGTCAATTATTTTTCCGTTTTTTTCCTGAATACAGGTGTTGGGTGTGTGTGATGACGTCACTGGTTTTGTAGAGAGACGCGGCAGAGATGGCGCGGATAACCCGGGTGCCTTAATTGTGTACCTGCATCGTGGAAGACCCCTTCGATGTGGAACGATTCATAGTCAGTGTCGATGTTGACACTGCTGTGCCTAACACAGATGATCTGGATAGATTCGGGTGATTGTCAATTGTAATGATGGCTTTGGTTGGGCGTTCTTCTTCATTGCATGTCCACGGACACATTCTGACAGCACTTCAGACAGCAGCTCCATGCCCCGAGCTTGTGTACCATGCACCATGATGTTATTATTGTACAGACAGCACTTCAGACAGCAGTACGCAGTAGTCGACATTCATTTTGGTTAAATGCGGGACAAGGGAGGAGGTGATGTTGCTGCTGTAGTCGATTTGTAGTGTGTGGGCGTGTAGTTCAGTTGTGAGCACGCAAACGTGCTGCAGGGATTGCAGGTGTACCTCCTCGGGCTTGCGTACCCTTTCCTTGCTAATAGTGTGTGTGTTATTTAGATCTTCTGATGGCTCTAGCATTTTTGTGACCACGGACCGAGTCTTTGCTAGATTTTGGGATTAGCAACTGACACGAGTTTAATGTGAAGAAAAACAACAACAACAACAAGTCTCTGTCCGCATGGCCGAGCTGCTATTACGGAAATACTGCTGTAGACTACATATGTCAATATTGCGCACAAACAGTTGGATGTTAGACTGCGGTGTGCCTAATGATCAGTATTGTTCCACCGGAAACTATGCTGCGCTTGTACACAGCCTTTCAACGGTCGCCCCGGTGGTCTAGTTGGTATCCTCGAAACCTTTCAGAGGTCAGGTCACGGGTTCAAATCCCGGCGTAAGCGAGCTTTTTTTGCAAAGTGAGTTTTTCTCTCGCTTCCGCTCCTGGCCTAGTGGATAGCGCTAGTTCGTGTGTACCCAGAGGGAAGAGAGTGCTGAACTCTTCTCGCATCAAAAATCGAACGCAGCGTACCGCAGGAGGGGAGGGTGGAGAGGGCCCTTCTGTTTGACCACGGGTTGGAGTAACGGCACTATTAGTGCTGTGAGCGCTGATTGGAAGTGAAGACGAAAAAAGGCTCCACAGCTGCCCTCAGTGTCGCTTCTACGTTTACACGAAGATGTCCTAATAATAAGCACACACTCGTGAGAGCCCAGCTCAAAAAGTCAGCCCGCACCCGCTACCCAAACACGCTGGCTGCTTGTTCCCCCTGACGCGGCGCGTCTTTCCTCTCCTCCTCCCACCCACCCTGGTCCGGTGAGAGCCCGGCGTGCTCCATCCCGGCTTTGTAGGTATGCGAGGTCAATGGTTTAACGACTACGGCATGCACGACTATGAGTATGAGTGTGAGTACACCCACCCACCCGTCCGCTCCTTGTACAGGAAGCTGCTATGAACATCGAGGCTTTCTTGGCGGCCCAGCTCTGGCTTCACCCGCTCCCTGCTCAAGCTTGGCCCACCTGGACTACGACACCAGAAGAAGCAGCCGCAAGACGTGGAGCGCGTGACCCTGACCGGAAAACCACTACCGCCGGCACCGTCGTCAATGTTCGCGACGGTGGTCTCGAGGGCAGCGGGACCGTTGTTCTCCTGCCTCGAGCCAGGTGTTGCTTCGTCCTCGAAAACCGCCCGTCCACCACAGCAGTAGCGGGCGTCAGAAATCGCAGCAGCAGCAGCAGCAGCAGTAACAGCAGCATCAACGGCCGAAATGCGAACACGAGGAGTCGCACGTTGTACTTGTCCACGACGCGCCGCGGCGCCTCGGACAAAGCCCGCGGCAACGGTGGTTCCAGCACATTTAATAAGGGTGTTCCAGACGACGGCGGTAAATCGGCACCGGGAACACGGGAGGCACAACCATGCGGAGGTAGACCCGCCGGGCAGAGCCGGGGAGTACCTGGTATCAGTTGCTACGGGTTCCAGCAAGACAGCAGCTGTACGGTCAGACCACCGCGGGGAAAGGGCCAAGGGGAGGGGTACCCGATCACGACGACCACGCGCACGGAGAGTGCGCTAGCTTGCGAGTTCGATTTCGGCTTGGCCATTGCAAGGCCAACGCCGCCGCGGGGGGGGCACGCTAAGCCGTGCGGTGGAGCTGGGGGCGGACATCTTCCTCCAGCAGAAGAAGGACGAGGAGTAGGCGGCGGCGGCGCCCTCTTGCTTCGGATCGAGGGCAAGGTCTACGAAGCAGAGCACACTCTTATCCGAAGCATCGCCTACCCACGAGGTGGCTGGAGCAGCGGAAACGGTGGAGCTGGTGTCGGCAACCCGCGTGGGCCGAGCGACGAATCTCGGGCGGCAAAGCCGGCGACAAGCTCGGTTGACGGCGGTAACGCCGACTCGAATCGTAGCCGTATGGATGAGCGCGGACGAGGACCGATGGCGGCGGCGAGGGCCTACCCTCCTCCAACACCACCTCCAACACCACCTCCAACAGCTTCGGTGGTGGCGGGGGAAAAGAGAAAGGCGGGTGCGTCGAACGGAGATGGCGCCGCGGGCACTGGCCGCGGCGGAAGTGCCGGGGCTAGCGATGGACTCCAAGACGGAGCTGGAAGGCGAGGCCAGGTTGATTCCACAGAAAGGGCTTTCGGCGCGGTGGCCGGGGGTGGCGACGGGAGAGGGGACCGTGTTGGCGCAGCGGCGACGGCGGAGACGACGCAACAGGAAAAGCGATCGGGAGCAGGGACGCCGTTCTGTGGGCTCTTTTTCCCTGGGGTACTCCTCAAATTCTGGGTGAGTCGGGCACGTGGCTTCTGCGACTGTACCGACTGGCGTAGGACTTTTTTTGCCCGACTTACACCTTCGAGTGGAGTAATGGGATAATCTCCACTTTTCTTGGGGCCCTTTTCTTGCCCCTACGGTACTTGTTGTCGTTCTGGGCACGTTCTTCTAAAAACTGCCAGTTGCGCCGGACTGGTGAGGCTCTGTGTCATAAGTATTTCCTTTGTCACTTGCTTTTTTGGGGGGGGGTTAGCTTGCGGCGACGAAAGCTCGTTTCTCTGGCCTATGCAAGTGATACGAAAGAGAAGGGCAATGCAGAATAACTTTTTTTCGGACGTGAACCCGCCGAGGCAGAATAGCGAGCGAACACCTGACAGAGACGGAGGCGATGCCAGAGCAGAAGCTGTCACGAAGATGCAGGTTGTCGTTGGCGAAATGTTGGCACGACTGTCGCCCAACCGCAGCTGTCACGGTGCTACGAGCGCCAGCGGGACATCGCCACAGGAACTGGAATGCCTGGCACGCTCAGGTACGAGGTTTGAGGGGGGATTCGCGGGGGGG